AACTTTGAATTCTTTGAATGCTAATGAGGAAGGAACAAAAGCTGCTGAGAGACATTGGATAATAGAAAAAAATTACAGAATTAAATCAGCTAATGTACCTAAAAGTTGTCTTGCCCTCCAAATGGAAGCCAGGGCATGTGTTATGTTGGGGAAGAGGTTGTGCTTTTGTTTCCACAAGTGAAGAAAAGCTGTGGATACCATCAAAATTGATAGATTCAGTTTGAATAAGAGACCTTTTTATTAGAAGAGATGATTGTTCATCAAGTAGCATAGCTGTTTAATTAACTAACTTATAAAACTAACAACAAACATAAAAGAGGGAGCCATTATTGGTTTGAAGAGAAAACTGAACCCAAAGAAAGGTCTAGAGACCTACAAGACTGCCGCCAACTAACAATTTGAATAACCAAGGCTACAATAAATGCCCTTCCCAGATAGTGAGATCAACAACTAACTTATCCACCATCATGGAGCCCTCATCTCGCACCTGTTGGAAACAGAAGCAAACACCCATAACTAAACACTGAGTGGAACTAGAATCCAGATGCAGAGAGGACAAGACCAGGTTGCAGAATCACAGAGACAGCTGACCTGAACAAGGAGAAGCTAATGAGCCCTCAGACTGATATCTGGGAATCCAGCATGGAACTGACTCAGACCCCCTGAAAATGGGTCTCTGTAGTGAGATAGTGCTTCTGTGGCACTGACCACACCCATTGGGGGGTGGAGCGGAAGTGACCTGTGGAAGGAGGTTGGAGGAAGAGCCAGGAAAAGCTCTCTGGCTGGCAGGACTCAGACAGGAGAGCATCTGGTGGAATTTCCTGATGTTCATCTGTCTAGGTTGTAAGTTATTTCTCCCTGAATAAACATCTATTCGGCCTATTTGTTTATCCTGATCCTTATTTAACAGCAATAGGTCTCAGCCAGAAGGACTGAGCAGTCTAAGGGATCTCAGACAGTGGAACCAGGATGTATTCCTGGTGCACAAAAGGACCTTGAGGACACATCCCCCACGGAGGGATACTCCCTTAACCTACAGACAGGAGAGAAGCCCTAGGCCCTACTTCAAATAACTTGACAGATTTACATGACCCCACCTGGATGGCATAGCCCTATATGTGGAATTGGGGTGGGGGGGATGGGAGGGGAGAGTGGTCAGGGTGCATGTGAGGAGGGAGAGAGGGTAAGAGGGAGGGAGAGAGAGAGGGAGAGGGAACTGGGATCAACATGTAAAAATAAATAAATAAATAAGCAGGAAGAAGAAAAAAAATTACAAAAGTTTTTCATTTGATAAGATATAACTTGCCAAAGAAGAAACTCCCCAAAAATTTAGAGCTGGGGAAGGACTTTTGTCTTTTCTGTAGAATAGAGGGATCCAGCTAAGGAATCCAGAGACCACTGGACAATTGAGACATCTGAAGAAAAGGGACAAATAATCTAGAAAAAAATGTCCTAAGAAAAGGAGTAAATTGGCCCATTGGTATATGGTAATTCCAACAGGATAAATTTTCATAAATCTTTCCAAATGTTTATTTCTGATGTTCTCTACAGACATAATGTAAATGATTCTTTTGTAGTCCCCAGTTTAGTTGAAACTGGCTGTAGTTGGAGTGTGGCTCTCTCCTTCTCCAAACCCAACCATTCCTATTAAAGAAAAATAAAAAATCTCTGTCTCATGCTAGAAGAGCCACCTGATATGGAACAGAAGAAAAATATTTAAGAACAATTGTTACTGAAATGTCCTGAGGGACCTATTGAAAGCCCCTATGCCTGCCTATGATCTGGATGAAAGAAGAGCTTTAGAAGAGCAAATAAAAATTTTGGGAGAAACCAGAGGTCAAAATTGATAAGGATTAGAATAAGAATCTCCCCAAAATTATGGTTATGGTTGAGGTAGGGTTTGTTTTTTATCAGGAAAGGAAAAACAACCATCTTGAGGAATTTAAGACTTTGGACAAATAAGTATCCAAAGAAGAAAGGAGAACTACCCAGATGAAATTATGAAGAAAAGAAGTAATCTGACCTAATGTGATCTCTGAAGTTTCTAAAAAAGAAGATTGAACCCAAGTTTGGTGGAGGTCACACACTCCTTTAATACCACCACTTGAGGGGCAGAAGCTTGCAGATCTCAATGAGTTTGAGGCCAGCCTGCTCTGCAAAGTGAGTTTCAAGGCAGCCAGAACTGGTAACACAAGAAACTGTCTCAAAAACAAAAATAAACAAAAGAAGATGGAACTCCACAACAATGACACCATCATTAAGCTGAACAACTCCACCTAAAAATAGACTTTGGATTACAAACTGCTCAGAACAATTTTGAAGAGGCCATCGGAGATTATCAAGCTTCACAGACACTGTTCAGAACAATGTTAAGGTGGCTAGCTGAGATGATCCAGGCTCACAGACTACTCTGACCAGGATTTGAGACAAGCCCTGTACTTCCCCATTAAGCAAAGACTGGACAACAAATGATACTGTTAACCCTAAGTTTTCTTTTCAGGATCCCATGAAGATGTGGTCACCCCCAGAGACCAGGAAGAAACTTTAAGAACACTACACCCACATTCCCAAGAGGTGGGGTGGGTGCTTTTTGTCATTCAGTGGGTTATTTGTCACTGTTTAGGGAGATTGGTTACAAAATATTGTTGTCAGTTGAACAGAGGGGATTAGATTCAAGGTTTTTTTTTTTAAGATAAAGATATGATAGGATAAAAGGAGAGATTATTAAATCTACCCTTGAAAAGGAAAAAAGGGAGGATATAGATATGACATGATAAAAATGTAGATTATTGAATCTACTTGTAAAAAGTATAGATATGATGAGGTAAAAAGGTAGATTATTGAGTCTATTCTTAAAAACAACTACCAGTTTTAAATATTTCACATTGGAGTAGACATTTGTATATTGTATACAAATATTGTGCATTGATACAAATTTGAGAATAATTTGTTAAGACATAATACACACACACACACACACACACACACACACACACATATATATATATATATATATATAGTTTTTAAGGCATTGTTCAAGGTATTGTACCTATACAGCTGATTTATCACCATAAATTTCTAGTTCTTGAAAGTTATTATTACCAACTATATGAGATAATAAGGAAATGTAAGTGGATAATTAGTCACCTATTACAATTGAACTTGTAATCTTATTAAGTATGTTTTCAAAGACAAACATATATATTTTAAACACTTCAGAGATCTACGGAATATGGCATTTAAAATGTTTTAATATCACAGCATTTTTTTTATGACAATGAGATATGTCTACTCCTGGCAGCATCAATCTACATCGGAGAAGTGATGGGCATTGAAGGAATTCAAATGGAGTTTACTTTCTTTGTGGCAAAAATAAGCCACTGGCAAGAAAATGTCCTTGCCTCAACTGCTGACAGTATGCTGTCCTAAATGGCTAAACAGGTTGGTTTATTTCTGAGAACTCTGTGTAATTAGCCTGTATGTCTTTTTCTATACACATACTACATTGTTAACCATGGCTATCTAGTGTATCCTGAGATCAGGTATATTCCTATGTCTGACTTTGCTTGTATGTCTCACAACAGCTTGAGCTATTCAGTGTCCTTTGGTTTTAACTTTCTGTGAAGAACCTTATGAACATTTTGATGAGGATTATTTGTATTTGGGTTGTTTTGGTAATATTAATGCTTTAATAATCTTAATTTTGTGAACTCAGGAACATGGGCTATATTTCTGTTTTCCAATGTCTCCTTCAAATGTTTTTATAGTGTTTTAGAATTTTCACTTTAGGAGCCTTTCATTTCCTTAATTATGTATATTTCTAATTACTTTTTCAGATACTGGAAATGAGATCGATTTTGAAATCAAGTTCTTAAGAAATCCACTCATAATGTATAGAAAACTTACTGGTTTCTGTATGAGGATATGTGTCCTTGTATTTAACTGAACTAAATTATCAATTCCAAGAATTTTTGTTAGAATTTTTAGGTGTTTATATATGAAGAATCATATTGTTGCAAATACATTATTTTATGCCATTAATTTTAACTCCCTATCATTAAAAAAGTCTTAATAGATCCTCTAGATAAAACTTCTGGTGGTGTTTAAATAAGAGTAATAGGATTTGAGTGGACATACTTGCTTCTAGACCTAATTTTTTCCAGGGCTTATCTCATCAAGGGATATTAAATTTTATTAAATTCTTTTACATCATCTACTGAAATGACCAGAAAGATTTTTATTATTTATTCTTTTCATGGTATGCTATATTTATTGATTTATGTAGGTTGAACTATTATGGTATGCCTGGTATTCTTGGGTTAAACCAATTGTATCATCATGAATGATCTGTTTAATGTACTTTATTTTGCTATGTACTTTTGTATTGGTGTTCATCAAGAACTATTGGTTTCTATATCATTGTTGCTGTCATGTCCTCATCTAGTTTGGGTAATGCAATAAACTTGGCATCCTAGAATGAAGTTTGGGAGGTAATCTTCCATTAAACTTAAAAATAGTTTAAGTAGATTTAGCACTAGTTCTCTAAGGATTTGGTAAAATCCAGAAGTAAGGTCATCTGGTCCTGGCCTTTTCTTTGCTGGTATACTTGGGAATTCTTGCTGCTTTCCTACTCAGAATAAAATCCACAAAACCCTTATTTCACTGAAACTGTAACCCACACTGTAGAGCACACACATAATCTTTTTTAAAAGATTATTTTTATTTTATATGTATGAGTGTTTATCTGCAAATGTATGTGTCCCACAAGTATTAGTAGTGTCTGCAAAGGCCAGAAAATGGTGTTGGAACTGGAGTTACAGATGGTGTGAATCACCTTGTGGATAGTGGAAATCAAACCCAGGTTCGCTGCAAGAGTAGCAAGTGCTCTTGATCACTGAGCCAATCTCTCCAGCCACAACAGTCATAGTTTTAACAATAAAAGTATGTCCTAAAGGAGCATCAACCAACCGAATGCCACTATAGTGGCTAAGCAATCTGAGTCATTTATTCACTGTGATCAGCAAGTCAAAAGCAAAGACAAAGTCTTCAAAGTTGCAGACATAGAGTCCTAGGAAATAGGTCCAAAGACTCATTGGATGGAAAGTTAGAGGGACATTGGTAGACAAGGAAAGTGAAGATAGGCTATAAGATGTAGGTTTATTTTTCCCAGAAGACATTGTAAAGAGAAAGGTGAGAAGACATGGGGCAGGTATCAAATCAGGACCAGTAGCAGAAAGTGAAACACCCAATAAAAACCCAATCCAGAGTCTGTTTACCAGATATGTGCTTTATGGGCCCTCCCATCCAGATGAAAACAGTTGCTAATAAATCTGTTCCCCGTTCTTTTTCAGTGTCTGGGTCTTCCGTATTTCCCAGGTTTAAACTCTATGTTCTTATCATGAAATGAGCTCAGTAATTCCCTATACTACTACTAGTATGCCAGTGACAAATGATAAATATGATTCTCGCTAAGTCAATAAAACAAATAAGGGACCAAGATATCAATAACATAAAGCACCCATCCTAATTATGCACTTTGTTTCAGAACTTGTCATGGTGACTACGAAGAGCACAGTTAAAACTGAAAAAAATCTGGGAGACTTTCACTTTAATCAGTCAAGGGAGTAACACGTTGGTAAAAATTTCAGGGAATGGGTGCTTTTGTGAAAATATTAACACAACATTTGTTCTTGAGTCAGGAATAAGGAGAAGTAATCAGGAAAATGGCCATTTCTGTATATTTAGTGCTTTTTTTTTTGGAGTAAACAATGTTAAAATCTGGAATTTTAATGAGCCTTATCTGGAAAGAAGGTAGTCTATGAAACTAAACCTGTGACTGATGATGGAGCAGCGCTCGCTCATTAGCTGACAGAGAGGGATGTTTGATGTCACTCATTAAGCTTGTGTGGTGCTCGAAACAAAACTGTGAGGCAATCTTGTCATTTTGTCTCATCTACTCACTGTCACTGAGGGAGCCCATCTGCTGCTAGTGTTTTATGAGTTTGGTCAACCCCATGAATACATTTGCTAACTTGACTACAAGCTTAGGTCAAAGACTCCCAATGCCTAGTTCCCTGTGACAGGCCTGTAACCAGATTTCATCACTGTCACCTCTAACTCACTGCAGATAAGAAAAAATAACTCAGAAGAATCTGGAGGAATGGAACTGAACACTTAAACCAAGGAAGTGTTTGGTTAGTATATTAATATAGAAAGCCCAGGCCTCTAGTAATATGCCTAATATCTATATCTTATGTAAAGAGCATAAAGAATCTTTCAGATAAAATTATAGAAAGTCCAATTATTAAAAAGAGCTCAGGGAAGTATCAGAGAATAGTTTGCGATTCCAATGGATTGCCTTAACAATATAAAGTTTTCACCAGTCCATACACAAAAAACAAATTCTGCTCTTAACTATTGTTTATTTGGTAGATAATGAAAGTTAGAGATGAGGGAAAGAGAGTAGTCAGGGCAAACAGTTGGAATAAATCAAATTGAGGATGTTCTAGTGTGGTCTGTAAGTATCAATAGTAGAAGATGCAAACTCATCCCAGGATAGGTAGTTTTTCTCTAACTGTTCCAATCAAATTGCTTATGGCTGTAAGAGAGAGAAAAAAATAAGAAGTTATTTTGAGATTTCATGTTTTGTTTTATCCTGAAAGGGGACTAATAACACAAATAATTCAGCAGAAGGAAAAGAAACATGATGTGAGGGCAGAGGCCTGGAATCCCAACCCTCAGTCTTGTCTACACAATGCGGCACTGTCTCAAAAATAAATATGCCAACCAACCTTCATTTCTCATCTAAAATATTTGGATATGCAGCCTAGACTGGAGTTATTAGGAAGGATGTTTTACAGAGTTCAAAAGGAGGAAGATTAGCATAGGTTTTTTTCTTCTATTGATACACAAAGCAATCCAGCTTTTCTGATAAGGAAATTATGGTCATACACTCACTCAGCATCTGCCTACCCCAGATCAATGAGAAAGATGTCAAACAACATCCTTAACATGACAGTGGAGAATACATTCCTGGAGATGATTCCTCTGTCTCATTCTCTGAGGGCAAACACCATCCTCCATCACTGCTCTTTCTCCCAGAGAAAAGCCGATGATTAGAAACCCTTCAGTCTTTCATTTTATGATGTTTATTTTCTAGAATAATTTCTTAGAGATTTGAACCCATCAGATATCTGAATTTTAGAAATATGAATTTTCATATTTAATAAATATGAATTTTATAAATACAAAATAAAATAATTGGTATTACTTTAAAGTTGAAGGGTTAGGGAAAATCCCAAATAGAAAAATGCCCTCAGTGTTTAGTTAAGGGTGTTTGCTACTGTTTCCAACAGGTACTAGATGAGGGCTCCATGATGGTGGATAAGTTAGTTGTTGATCTCACTATCAGGGAATCCAGATGCAGAGAGAGAGAGGACAAGACCAGGTTGCAGAAACACATAGAGACAGCTAACCTGAACAAGGAGGAGCTAATGGACCCCCAGACTGATAGTTGGGAATCCAGCATGGGACTGACTCAGACCCCCTGAAAATGGGTTTCAGCCAGAAGGTCTGAGAAGTCTAAGGGACCTCAGACAGTGGAACCAGGATGTATTCCTGGTGCACAAAAGGACCTTGCAGACACATCCCCCATGGAGGAATACTGCCTTAACCTAGAGACAAGAGAGAAGTCCTAGTTCCTATTTCAAATGACTTGACAGATTTACATGACCCCACCTGGATGGCATAGCCCTATATGAGGAATTGGGGTGGTGGTCAGGGTGCATGTGAGGGGGAGAGAGAGTAAGAGGGAGGGAGAGAGGGAGGGAGAGAGGGAGAGGGAACTGGGATCGACATATAAAATAATAAAAAATAAAGTAAAATATATATATAAAAAGAAAAGTGCCCTCATCTTGAATGAATATTTATACTCCTATAAATCTCCTGATTTATACTACAACAGTCATCCTTGGAAGAAAGACCTCATTACAAAGCTCTTTTCTATTTCTATTTTTGTAATAGTCTCCAAAGAAAATATAACTTTTATGTAAGAAAATTAAAAGCAACCTACAGTGGGGACACTTTACACTTTCAGTGTTTTCTCCTTAATATACATTTTCTTTAATGACTCCTATAAACTTCTCAGTTTAAATTGATAAAATTGAAAGACCTTATCATTCTGGCACTTTTATAGAGACAATACTATGAATTAGAAAAGAGGAATGAAACAAAGGCCTCTCCTTCTCCCTGTCTTCATCCTCCCCCATATCTTCCCTGAAGGACAGCTAATTGTGACCATAGAGAACCTAAGGAATCTGAGTCACATAAAGAACAAAATTAGATATTTTTTTTTACCATCTTTTAGATTGCTTGGTTTATCTTCAGGTGTTTCCTCACTGTCTTCTGTTTTTTCCTCTTCATCACTGCTCGCTTCCTCATCTTCCTGGCTTTGATCGGCGGCCTCGTCACTGGACTCAGCTTCACCAGCAGACTCACTGTCTTGCTCGGCACTAGCAGACTCATCTTGTGTCCCAGATTCAGAGTTGCTGGTTTCTTCAGATGCAGCTGAAATTAGGAGGAAAAGCTATAGGTGAGATTCTGACTCTATTTTAGAATGATATTGGTCCCAACCAGGATTGCACATTCATTTCTTATTCTCAATTCATTATCTGCCATATATATATATATATATATATATATGCATCATTTTTCATGACCTCATGTCTTCCTTGGGCAATGACACTGACCCTAGACACAAGCAAGTACCTTGTGACAAGAATGGGCCCCCTAATTAAAACCAAGTTAGTCACAAACACTATTGCCCAAGATACATAAAGAAACTTCCCAACCAAGAGCCTCCAGTGTCAATTCCAGAAAGGGAAACAAATATCATTCTGAGACTGGCATAGCTTTGCCATTGTACATGCAAAGCATAGACCCTTACTTCTGCCTCAACCCTCCTGGCATATGTTCTCATGCTCTTGCTCCACAGCACCTTCAGGAATTTGTTGTCTGTTCCACTGGCAATTGATTTCTTTTCTACACATGAACTACATAGTCCTTCAACTTGTGAGAGGCTTTCCATGTACTCGCATATAGTACTCAACCACAGGATGAGACCTCATGGCCTTGTGCCTACTGCATAAGAAGAATGAATGCCTAGAGTTCCTCTAAGTCCATGTCAGAGGCATAATTATCTTTATGTAAGGAATGAATTGATATCTTTATATTCAAAGTAATTTTACAATAAATGCACCTTTCTGTGGATTTTATTAAGATTTCTTTCATAACTCAGAATATTCATATGACAATGGCTTCCATGAGGCTATATAGGGAAAATGGAAAATGTAGGAAGGTAATGAAGGGTACTTAGACTCAGGCTCACCAGTGTCAGAAGTGTCAGCGGTGTCTGCGTCCTCTGAAAGAAAAGAAGCAAAATAAGACTGAAGAACTCAAGCAACATTTTGATGGGATGGAGAATATGAACACTATTACAGATATTCACAAGTGGAAAGAAAGTCTTAGTCCTGAACAGACAGACTGCGGGAATCACATGCACAGATTAGAGAACCTTTGCTTCCCTGAAAAAAAGCCTTTAATCACCTTCTTAAATGTAGCTTATTGACACTAACTATTCACTTGCTGCCACATATAGAATAAAGACTGGACTGAATTAGGAATCCCAGTGGAGCCAATGTACCTACAGTGACATGTCAAAATGGAGATGGGTACCAGTCAGATGGCTTAGTGGATAAAGCCCTTGTCTTACAAGTTGGATGACATGAGTTAATATGCATAATTGAAGCTGGGAATAGATTCTTGAAATTTGTCTCTAACCTCCTCACATGCATCATGGTCTGTTTGAGACCCTGACACCATCTCTCTCTCTCTCTTTCTCTCTTTCTGTCTCTTGTTCTCCCTCATACACACAGTACCATACACATAATAGTAATAGTAATTATAATGATGATGATAATGATAATAATAATAAAGAAAATAGTTTAAGTTTAAAAATTTAAGGTAAAAGCAGTTATGAGATAGGACAAGGAATAGCAGCATGCAAGCATCCTTAAACTTATGTCTCACAGATTAAGAATCTCATATATGATAGCCTCCACTTTAATTTAAGTAAGAATCTTTACTTACGGCAAGAGACCAGGATAGTGGAGACACCCAGCAACACAAGGAATACCAGAAGCTTCATGGTGACAAGTAGAGGAGCAGGGAACACACAAGATCAAGCTCCAACGCTAGGAGGAATGGAAGACTGTTGATTCTAGGGGCCTGTGTCACGGGATTATATGTATAGAGCGCACCAATCAGAAGCTGCCACAACCTGGTAAGTGAATGAAAGGAAAGGATGGTAAGGAAAACAAATGAGAATCAACCACACAGCCAGAGGCCATTTAGAAAGGTCATAACTTACAATGTTTCATGAATCCTTGATTCTGGAAACAGGTGTCCTGCCAAGCCATGGTCTAATGAGTAACTTCTGCCTTCTCTTGTGTGACACATGGGGCTTCCATTTTTGATTATCTTCTAATAAGTTGGAGATGTCCACACAGTCTTCCTGTTGTCTGTACTGCTCTTTTCAAAACAGCAGAAGTTAGAAACTCTCAGAGTCTTCACCTTTATGTCTCCTTCAAGGGAGTAATTGTGGTAGAACAGCTGAATCTGAGCGTCATCTGTAGTCATCAGGCCATAGTTTTCAAACCATGGTGTTCCCACCATATATTCAATAAGGAGCATCTGATCACACACTGAGTGTGAGCCCAACTCTGGTTTTTGGTCATTCTTGTACAAAATTCAAAATCTAAGAGCAAAAGGACAGGAAAACAAATTAGCATTTTTAATGACTACATCCACCCAGTCAGTTCATTCATTAAGTTTCCCTTCCTTCCTTACTTTCTTGTCTTTCTTTCTCCTTTTTTTTCTTTCTTTCCTTCCTTTCTTTTTATTTGTTTTGTCTTTAATATGGTATCTCTCATAATTAAAGCCAGTTCTTAAGACGAGATCCACCTACCTCTTAATGTTAGATTAAAATGTGTATGTCACCATACTCAGACTTAAAATAATGTCTAGGTACTATGATAGGTATTAGGAAAATTGTAGAAAACCAATCACAAAAATACTCCAAGCTAGACATACTTTAAACAATAATAACAGCAAGATTCCAAAGTCAAACCAAATCACAACTAAAACAACAACAACAAAAACTCACACATTGGAAAAAGAAACATATACTGAAATACTAAAAACTCAATGGGGCAAATATGAAGGAAAATTTTTCATTAGAAATATGTGTACAGCATTAAAGGAGGGAAAGGGCTATGTGGGGAGAGGAAAAGATCTAGGAGCAAAGGAGGAGAGGAGGGGGTCATGGAATCTATGTGTTATGAGAGTGTAGGTGGGGACTGTGTGGGAGGAAGAAAGTCATCATTGAGGGGGCAGAGAACAGTGGAGGACGTGAAAAAAAAAAAACCACAAAGTACAGGACTTCTGAGTAAGGTGTCAGATCAGGAAGCCAAAACTGTGCTCCATAGAAAGAAGACATGATTATGAGCAATAGTTTTTATTTTCCCAGGATATTGAAGAGAATAAGGGTCTCTGCTAAGAAACAGGTACGGATGGAAGTGAACCATACCCAGCTGCACTGTGCATCTTGGGTTATTTTTTATGGAAACTGCCAAAGAGGTGCTTCAGCGTTCCTCCTTCCTCTCCCTTTCCATACCATACCACTCAGTGGCACACAAATGCTACAGGGAGCAGGAGAGAGAAGGAGCAGGCTGTGGAGACATGACCAGGAGCTGGAGTCACCGCGAGCAGGGACAAACAAGATGAGAAGATGGAAGCTGAAGTGCAAATACGCAGCCTGCAGCTGTGACTGCAACGTCTGTAGTCCCTCCTCCTTCCCGCCACATTGCTCCCTTCTGCCACCTTCTCCCAGCTGCCTTCGTTCAACCAATATGGTATAATCTAGCTGTTTCTATAGGCCCAGATAATAATAAATAATATTATTTATGGTGAAATAATATCCCATTATGTATATTTTCTTTATCTACTTACCTGTCAATTGATTCTGGATTGTTTATCTATCTTAGATATTATAAACAGCTACCACAAGAGTGCAGGTATCCCTGACTCACAAACTTAATTTCCTTTGAATATGTTGCAATAGTTTGATAGCTGGTTCATGCCATATTTGCAGTTTTAGGTTTTGAAAATTCTCCAGACCACATTCTATCATGGTTATACTAACTGTGTTCTTATTGTGTATTATGGTCCGTTTCCCCCCACACATCCTTGCCATAGCTAGGTAATTTTCTTTGTTGATATTAACTGTTTTGAGATGGGATTATGTCTCATTGTGGTTTTGACTTCTATTCCCAGCTACGGATATTAGCTACATTTTAATTTCCCACTGGCTTCAGAATAGGAGAAAATACTTTTTGTTTTTTGTTTTTTGTTTTTTTTTGAATATAGAATATTTTTTTTATTTAATTTTATATAACAAAGTCCAATTAAATGAAAACAAACATTTATACACAATATTTGGGAATTTGGGCGTCGTTCTTTCCAAACTACTTCCTGCCGGTAAGGGGCGCTGTCTTGGGGGATTCGCAGAAGATTCAGATATCCTAGCTGTAGTCTGTAGGGCTGTTTTGTCCAGCTGTTTGGAATGTAGGATCAGCTTGTACTCTGTTTCAGGCGGTCTGGTGTGATCAAACCACATTAGTCTGGAAGGAATCCACATCTTTTCATTTTCTGTGGAAACAAAAATAGAAATACTTTTCCCCAGTAACTTGTTCTTCAACTTAAATTTTGGAGTCAAAGCGTTTTTTTTTTTTTTTTTTTTAATTTATTATTTTACATGTCGATCCCAGTTCCCTCTCCCTCCCTCCCTTCTTCCCTTCCAGCCCTCCCTCCCTTCTTCCCCTCCCTTTTGCCCTCTCTACCCTCTCCCATGCACTCTAAACACCCTCCCCTCCCAACCCCCCACCACAATACCATATGTAGGGGAATGCCATCCAGTTGGGGTCATGTAGATCTGACAGGTCCTATGAAGTAGGGACTAGGGCTTCTCTCCTATCTCTAGAATAAGGCAGTTATCCCTCCATGGGGGATATGTTTGCAAAGTCCTTTTGTGCACCAGGGATACATCCTGGCTCCACTGTCTGAGGTCTCTTAGACTGCTCAGACCTTCTGGCTGAGACCCATATTCAGGGGGGTCCGAGTCAGTCCCCTGTTGGCTTCCCAGCTATCAGTCTAGTGGCCCTTAGCTCCTCCTTGTTCAGGTAAGCTGTCTCTATGTACTTCTACCGCATGGTCTTGTCCTCTCCATCTGCTTCTGGGTTCTACTTCGACTCAGTGTTTACGTATGGGTGTTTGCTCCTGTTTTCAACAGGCATTAGTTGAGGACTCCATGGAGAAGTTAGTTGTTGATCTCACTCTCCGGGAAGGGCATTTATGATAGCCTTTCCACGGAAGCTGAGATTGTTAGTTGGGAGCAGTCTTGTAGTTCCCTCGACCTTTCTTTGTGTTAAACTTTATCTTCAAACCAATATTGGCTCCCTCTTTTATGTTCTCTCTCTCTGTCTCTGTCTCTCTCTCTCTCTCTCTTTCCTATTTTCCATTCCTAACCAGGCTCAATCCTCTTGGTCGCACATGCCTTCCTCTCCTCCCTCTCATTTTCTCCTACTTCTCTCTCCACTAGCTGTCCTCCCGCACTATACCTGAGGTCTGGGGGACTTGTCCCTTCCCAGTTCTGTGAGGGACTTTATATGAATCTCTTAGAATACAACTTGTATCCTAGTTCCTCTGGTGATGTGAATTATAGGCTGGTGATCATTTGATCTAGGTCTAAAATCCATATGTGAGTGAGTACATACTGTGTTTCTCTTTTTGTGACTGGGTTACCTCATTCAGGATGGTTTCTTCAAGTGCCATCCACTTGCCTGCGAATTTCAAGATACCATTATTTTTTTCTGCAGAGTAGTATTCCATTGTGTAGATGTGCCACATCTTCATTAACCATTCTTCAATTGAAGGGCATCTAGGTTGCTTCCAGGTTCTTGCTATTACAAATAGTGCTGCTATGAACATAGTTGAACAGATGTCTTTGTTGCATTGATGTGAATCCTTTGGGTATATGCCTAAGAGGGGGATTGCCTGGTCCTGTGATAAACTAATTCCCATTTTCCTGAGGAACCGCCATACTGATCTCCAAAATGGCTGTATGAGTTTGCACTCCCACCAGCAGTGGAGGAGTGTTCCACTTTCTCCACATCCTCTCCAACATAAGTCATCACTGGTGTTTCTAATTTTAGCCATTCTGGCAGGGGTAAGATGGTATCTCAAAGTTGTTTTGATTTGCATTTCCCTGATAGCTAAGGATGTGGAGCATTTTCTTAAGTGTCTTTCAGCCTTTTTGATTTCCTCCATTGAGAATTCTTTCTTCAGTTCTGTACCCCATTTTTTAATAGGGTTATTTGGTGTTTTGTTGACTAGTTTCTTGAGTTCTTTGTATATTTTGGAGATCAGCCCTTTGTCGGATATAGGATTAGTGAAAATCTTTTCCCAGTCAGTGGGCTGCCATTTGGTCTTGTCAACTGTGTCCTTTGCCTGTTTTTTGTTTTTTGAGACATGATTTCTCTGTGTATCCCTGGCTGTCCTGGAACTCCCTCTGTAGACCAGGCTAGCCTTGACCTCACAGAGATCTGCCTGCCTTTGCCTCTTGAGTGCTGGGATTAAAGTTGTGCACCACCACTCTCCAGCTATATTTTAAAACTATCTCACAAAAGAGTAACATAGAGACTATAAAAGGAATTGGAAAATCAATAGCAATAAAATAACATTTAAAATGAGTAAATGATCTGAATGGGTATGTTGCAAAGTTACACTTATATCAACATATCAGCAGTTGACACTGTTATTCTTTTAAAAGTATATATATCTTCATTTAAAAAAATGGGTTTGTACACAGTTGTGTGTGAATGCCAGCATAGGAAAGAAGAGGGTGTCAGATTTTGAAACTGGATTTACATGCATCTGTGATCCTCTAACTTGATTACTGGATCTGAATTCCAGTCCTCTGGATGAGAAGTACACTATCTTAACCATTGATTCATCTTTCTATAACTGAATATATTATTCTTAAAAAACAAACAAACAAAAAACCACCCAAACAAAAAGGCCAGTACTGATATTGTCTACTCCATA